CTTCCAAGAGAAGTGGTGCTGGCTCCTACCCTGGGGGTCTTTAAGAGGAGGCTGGATGTACACCTTGCTGGGGTCGTTTGACCCCAGTACTCTTTCCTGCCATGGCAGGGGGTCGGACTCAATGATCTGCTCAGGGCCCTTCTGACCCTAGAAACTATGAAACTATGAGCCTGCAAACCCAGCAAGTGGCTGGGCAGTCGGTGTGCAGATCGGCACATGGAGAGCTGGCCCTGGGAGCATCTTGAGGCATGGAGAGGTGGCCCTGGGAGCAGCTCATGGCTGCTTGGGACTCACCCAGTGTGCAGGTTGGCGCACAGAGAACTGCCTTGGAAGCAGTTTGCAGCTGCTCATGTTAGCTCCGGCCCTAAGCCGAGTGACTGGAGCCCCGCAGTGTAGCTCCACTTCTAACTGAAAGAGCCCCAGTGCCCAGACCAGGGCCTGGGAAAGGGGAAAACACCTGTGTGTGACTGGGCAGTAAGAGCCTGCAAGGGCTTGGCTCCCGTGAGAGACAGAGAGCCCTGGGTGCCCAGTGCAAGGCACCAGGCCATTGAGAAGAGCTGAAGGCATTGCTAGGGAGAGGCTTTTGAGGGATCGGCCACCAGGGGACGAGCCTTGACTTCTCCAGTGAGTTACTGGGAAAGCGGGCTCCACAGGGAAGGCTGACATAGGTGAGAAGGGATCCTCCATTGCGGGAGGGGCGTGTCCACATCCCAGGGCCCTAAAGGGGAGGGGTCGCAGGGAAACCCCTCAGAGAAGTGCTGAGTGCGCTCCTTATTTCGAGGTTGTTGTGTTAAGGGCTGTACAGCTAGGGGTATTCTTTAAGGGGGTCTATATGGTTTATGTATTGTAATGTCTCAATGTGTATATTGGTATTGTTATTTGTGAAGGTTTAAAGAAATACTATGGTTAAGTTACTTGGGTTATATAGATTAATATACCTATGTGTTAATTGTGTTGTATAGGATGTAAATTATTTGGTTCATATTTGGTATTATATGTGACTTGTGGATTATATATAGTATTACATGTTAAGCCTTGTAAATATTCTGTGTTTTACATTAAGCGTCTGTATTTATTTTTGTAATAAATTGTACATAGTTAAGTATTTGGTTTTGGTCTAGCTCTATAGAGAGTGATGGAAGCTGCTCTAGTAGCTGACCCCTTCATCAGCACCCTGCCTGACCACCACTACTGTCATCGGAGGACAGGGCATACCCCCTCCGGTGCACCTGGGCTACAGAAGTGCAACACTTTACTCACAGCTTCCTAATTATTTTGCATCCAGTCTCTTTAGCAAAACTCATAGTTACATACCCATGTGCAGAGGGATTCTTTTATTTTTATACCATCAATGTAGTATCGTAGGACCCTGGCACATGTTCATTTAAAGGCTCCATAGGACCTGATACTTGATTGCAACAGTTGCACCTCCTGCAGTGCCACTTGTACATGGCAGGAGGCGCAATTTAAGGATCAGGGGTCAGATGCCAACTGTGCCTCCTCTGCTTGCTGGTGCAGGGGGAGGCTGGGATAGGGATCCTGGTCTCCCCCTGCACCAGCTAGTTGAAAGCCAGATGCTTGCAGCCTGGTGTGAGCCAATGTAGTCCTGGGCCAGAGTTGACCATTAGCTGGTTGTTGGCCCTGGCCCCAGGACTACATGGGCCAGTTCAAGACCCCACGGCCAGGACTAACAATCAACTGATTGCTTGCCCTGGCCCTGGACATGCCACACATTCAATTTAAGGCACCATGCAAACCAGCCATGAAAATGTTCTAAATATATGTGAAATATTTTTATGGCTCATTTGCCATTTTAATATGCACCCTTATCATTTATACCACAATTAACACTTTAATTGCAGCATAAATGTAACCATGTAGAGGGGCTCCTAGAGAAAGGCAAACTTCCTTTAATTTAATTTTATCCCATTTCTATTACTTCAATACTTAGGGATCCCATTTTCACTTCTCTTTCAGGCAGTTCCTTACCCACTTGACAAGTCTTACACTAAAACCCATCTTTTCATCTTAACTGATAATTTCCCCTGTGGCATCTTATCAATTACTTTACTTTTATCCAGATTAGATGTATTGTATTTTCTCTGTCTAATAAAAGGGTCAGCAACCTCTGGTCCGTGGACCAGATCTGGCCCACAGGGCCATCAGATCCAGATCATGGTGGGGGGCTTCGGCAATATTCAGCAGTGGAAAGCTTCAATGGGATTCTGTGGTGAGGGGCTTTGCCCATGCAATGCTGTATTGTGCTGCAGCCTGGCACTTCAGCTATGCTGTGCCATTGTTGGGCAGTGGGGACAAGTGGCAGCAGTGCTGGCTGGGTATGAGCACCAGCCCGCCTTCAACCTGAGCTTGGTCATTCTGGTCCATTGCTGGAAAACATTGCCAACCACAGGTCTAGAAAAATCACAAAGTGTACCTAATGGTAATTTGGCATAGAACAACACACCCAGTACCTAACTTGAGTCTACCTAACCCAGAGAAAGAAGCAGCCAATGTGGCTTAGAATATATGGCCTACTCATTCTGAAAGTTATGAATCTGTGCAGCAGAGACAGTGAAAAGATTGCCTAGTATTGTCACCTGTATGGTGTGGATCCCTGGACCCTTCAAAGGTTCCCTGGTGGGGAGGTGGAGCTGCTGGAGACAGCATAGCACAGCACATCTCTTTTGAAGTGGGCAGCCCTCAGAAAGTGTGTTAAAGTAGAAGGATGATGATGTGAACCTTGTGTGGAATGAGCTAAGTCACACAGAGATGAAATAGGTGAAGCTAGACCAACAGAGGATGCAAAGAGCATGAGAAGAGGGCAGGAAAAAGGAAAAAAAAGAAAGGAGGAAGGAAATTAGGTAGAGTTTGAGGCAGCTGAACAAAGGGAGGACAGAATGAGGAAAGAAAAATTGGGGAAACACAGGAAAGAGTATAATGTCTAAGAAGATTTACACTCAGGGTGCTCAATAACCAAGATAACATTGTTCAAAAACAATACACTATTTCCCCACGTTTTCCAAAACCACACAATATTAAAACACTGTGCTACATCTTGACTGTAGCTTTTTTAATACATACTGTTATTAAAGTACAGACCTAATAAAGACACAATTTTGCAGCTTCAGTTTTGAACAGGTTGTTTAACTCTATGCTGAGTGTTAAGAAAATTAGTGGGTTCTACATGTAAATATATAAGAGTATAAAATATGTAATATATTAGTGTACAATGAGATTTGTTTTTTGTAACCAAAAAAACAACGAAAGAACAGCAATATAAGCAGTGGTTCAGAGCCCCGACTCCAAGGTATTTTCCACCATAATT